AGGCACTCCTAAAGTGCCTTTATGTGCATTTTCATTGAGAACAATTTCCTTTAAAACCCTAAAGTGTTTTATTTCATTTTTAAATTAATTAAAATGTTTTTTAAAACCCTAAAGTGTTTTTTTATTTTTTAAATTCATTAAAATTGCATTTTAAACCCTAAAATGTTTTATTTTATTTTTAACTTATTCTAAGCAGCAAAAGCAGCAGCAAAAAGGCTGCTGGAGGTGTACGTACACTGCAGCAACTCCAAACCCTAAACCCTCGGGCTGCTTGAAGTGTACGTACACTGCAGCAACACTAAACCCTAAACCCTAAACCCTCAACTAATCAAGGGTGGTTTGTTTTTAAAATGAAGATTTAATTAATTAGAGCTGCCTAGGGTTTGGGGTTTGCTCAGCAAACCACTGCAGCAGCAGCCGCTGCTGCTGGAGATGAAGCACTAGAACTGTGAACAGCAGCAGCTGCTGCTGCAGCAGCTGCTGCTGCTGCTGTTGCTGCTGCTGTCACTGTGGCTGCTGCTGTCCTTCTGGCAGCTGGGGCTGCTCGGCTGCTTCTGCTGAGAAAAAGGCAGCTGCTGCTGCAGCGGCAATTGTTTGCTGCTGCTGCTGCTGCTGCTGCAGCGAATCGTGCTGCTGTTGCTTCTGCCAGGAATTGTGCTGCTGCTGCAGTGAGTCGTGCTGCTGCTGCTGCTGCTGCTGCACGATTCGCTGCAGCAGCAGCGGCAGCAGCACGTTTCGCTGGAGCAGCAGCAGCAGATACTGCGGGCACTGCAACACTTGCAGCAGCAGCAGCTGCTGCTGCTGCAGCTGCTGCTGCAGTGGTTTACTGAATCAGCCGTGCACAAGCAAACCCTAAACCCTAGGCAGGTTCTCCTAAACCCTAGGCAACCTCTGCTAAACCCTAAACCCTAGGCAAGCTTTTCCAAACCCTAAAGGCTAGGCTGCCTCTCTCAAACCCTAAACCCTAACAACCTCTCGTAAACCCTAAACCCTATGCAACATCTCCTAAACCCTAAACTCCAGGCGAGCTCTCTAAACCCTAAAGCCTAGGTAGAGTCTCCTAAACCCTAAACCCTACTCAGCCGATCCAAAACCCTAAACTCCAGGCTGCTTCTCCTAAACCCTAAACCCTAGGAAGCCTCTCCTAAACCCTAATCGAGAAGCTGCCTTTCCTGAACCCTATTTAGCATCTCCTAAACCCTAAACCCTAGGTATCCTCTCCTAAACCCTAAACCCTAAACCCTAGGTATCCTCTCCTAAACCCTAAACCCTAAACCCTAGCTTCCAACCACGCAGCAGCGTGGCCCTATCAGCTGCTGAAAGTTGGAATTTCAAATTCATTTTTTTATATAAAACAAAACCCTTTTTTTAAATTAAATAAATCTTTATTTTTTAAATTAAATATTTCTTTTTTATTTTTTAATTAAATAAATCTTTTTATTTCCAAAAAAACAATTTTAACTACCCTAAACCCTAAACGCTTAAAAGCTGCCAGGCCTCGAGGCCCTCACACCGAGCTGGAAAGGAGTGCACGTTCCTAAACCCTAAACCCTAAACCCTAAACCCTAAACTCTAAACCCTAAACCCTTAATAATGCGACTATAAATATATAATTAGAACAAAAGAAACAAAACAATTTCGATTTCAAATTTGTGGAGGAAGAAGAGGCAGCAGCTGTGGCGGCGCGCGGTGTCTCGACACCTGTACAGCACCCCACAAACCCTAAACCCTAAACCCTAAACCCTAAACCCTAAACCCTCGAAGTTCTTTTTGCTCTGGAGAAGCTTTCTAAACCCTAAGCCTTAAACCCTGGATGCTGCTGCCGCTGCTGTCGGCAGTGTGCTCGGGAGCCGGGGCTTTCGGCTGCAGCTGCATGTCTTGCAAACCCTAAACCCTAAACCCTAAACCCTAAACCCTAAAGCCTCTTTCTTTGACTTTTTGGAAACCCTAAACTGAAACCCTAAACCCTAAACCCTAGCAGAGTTTAGCTAGTAGCGTGTCCCCAGCGGTCTCTTGGTGTCTCGTGGGGGGCTCCACGTAATTAATCGATGGTGAGGGCTTAGGGTTTAGGGTTTAGGGTTTAGGGTTTGGGGTTTAGGGTTTAGGCTGAGCCATCTGCCTTTATGCAGAGACTAGGGTTTGCTTATTCCCTAGTCCTCCATTTAGTGTCTCGCCAGCTCAAAGTTCAGGGACCAACGGTTTAGGGTTTGGCGTTAGGGTCTAGGGCTTAGGGTTTGGGGTTTAGGGTTTAGGGTTTAGGGTTTAGGGTTTAGGGTTCAGGCTTTGGAGTGTCTTGCAGATGGTTCATCTTTGGGCTTTAGCGCTTCCGCTCTGTCTCTGCCACTGCCTGGGGCAAGGTATCTCCCAAACCCTAAACCCTAAACCCTAAACCCTACACTCTCTTGAGACATGTTCTATCATGTGCTGGCTTCTGCACTGAGGGTTTAGGGTTTAGGGTTTAGGGTTTAGGGTTTGTGCGTGGCCGCAGCGTCTGCCTTCCGCTTCCAGCAGCCTGCCCGCTTGCTTCCCTCCCCAGAGGGTTTGCAGCAGCAGCAGCAGCAGCTGCGCAGCCTCGTTCCCGCAGCAGCAGCAGCAGCAGGAAAAGCCGGAGAACAGCGATCCCCAACAGCAGCAGCAGCAGCAGCAGCAGCAGCAGCAGCAGCAGCAGCAGCAGCAGCAGCTACTACAGAGTGACTGACGACGCCCGCATGAGGGCCTTAGAGCCCACGCTGCGCTATTTGCTGGACGCGGGGGCCCGCGTGTTGCTGCTGTCGCACTTCAAGGACCCCAAGCTGCCGCAGCAGCAGCAGCAGCAGCAGCAGCAGCAGCAGCAGCAGCAGCAGCTGCAGCAGCTGCAGCAGCAGTACTCGCTGCAGTTCCTGCAGCAGCCGCTGCAGCAAATGCTGAAAACCCCCGTCAAATTCGCCCCCGACTGCGTCGGAAAAGAAACAGAAGAACTTTCGAAGCAGCTCAAGGAGGGAGAAGTGCTGCTGCTGGAAAACGGTAGGGTTTAGGGTTTAGGGTTTAGGGTTTAGGGTTTAGGGTTCAGCAGTGGGGGTCGTGGTGCTTTGGGGCTTGGGGCTCTGGGGCGTCTGGGGTATAGTGGCGGTTAGGAATTGGGGTTTAGGGTTTAGGGTTTAGGAGCTTTCAAGACTGAGCGGTGATTAGGGTTTAGGGTTTAGGGTTTAGGGCTAAGGAGGGTTTATTGGTGTCAGGGGTTCAGAGCATCCCTGAGGGTTTAGGGTTTGTCGCACAGAGGGGCCAAGGGCCTCGAGCGCAGGGCGTTTCGGGCTCGAGGGTTTAGGGTTTAGGGTTTAGGGTTTGTGCGCAGTGCGGCTGCGGGAGGGCGAGAAGAGCAACTCCGAGGGTTTAGGGTTTGCGCTTTCGCAGCTGTTTGATGTTTATGTTAATGACGCCTTTGGGGCGCTGCACCGGCAGCACTCTTCGATGGTTGCTGCAGCAGCAGCAGCGCAGCAGCAGCACAAACCCGCGCTCGCCGGGCTGCTGCTGCTCAAGGAGCTGCAGGCCATTCAGGCAAGGGTTTTAGGGTTTAGGGTTTAAGGGTTTCGAGGGTTTCGAGGGTTTCGAGGGTTTCGAGGGTTTCGAGGGTTTTGAGGGCTTTGAGGGTTTTGCGGGTTTTGAGGGTTTTGAGGGTTTCGAGGGTTTTGAGGGTTTTGAGGGTTTTGAGGGTTTTGAGGGTTTTGAGGGTTTGGGAGGGTTTAGGGTTTAGGGTTGCTGAGGAGGGTTTAGGAGGGTGTAGGGAGGGCGAGGGACTTTGAGGGTTTGCGGGTTTAGGGTTTAGGGATTAGGGTTTCCGAGGGTTTGGGGTCTTTGGGGAAGAAGAGGCCTTCGGGCGTTGAGGGGGCCTTGCTGCTGCATCGCGCGGGCCAGGGTTTAGGGTTTAGGGTTTAGGGTTTAGGGTTTAGGGTTTAGGGTTTGCTTAGGGCTTAGGGCACCGCGACTCGCTCGAAGGGTTCAGGACCACGGCGGGCGGCCCAGCCTCCAGCGTTCCGCGCGCAGCGCTTAGGGTTGAGGGTTTAGGGTTTAGGGTTTAGGGTTTAGGGTTTAGGGTTTGCGCGCAGGGGGCGTTGCGGCGGCCCGCGCGTCCGGTGTGCTGGGTGGTGGGGGGGTTGAAGGTGTCTTCGAAGGCGCTGCTGCTGCAGCGGCTGCTGGCAGCAGCAGCAAAAGGCGACAAAGTGCTGCTGGGCGGCTGCATGGCTTTGACTTTCTTGAAAGCCCAAAAAGTCCAAACTGGAAATTCCCTCGTCGAAGACTCGCAGCTCCAAACCTGCAAAGTCAGCTGTCTGTACACCCCACGCGCTGCACACACTTGCAGCTCTCGGCTGTATGGACAGCTCAGTGCTTTCGGCTGTATGGACAGCTCAGTGCTTTCGGGTGTATGGACAGCTCAGTGCTTTCGGGTGTATGGACAGCTTAGTGCTTTCGGGTGTATGGACAGCGTAGTGCTTTCGGGTGTATGGACAGCTCAGTGCTTTCGGGTGTATGGACAGCTTAGTGCTTTCGGGTGTACAGACACCGCAGGCTTCTCGGGTGTATGGACACCGCGGGCGTTTTTCGGGTGTATGGACAGCTTAGTGCTTTCGGGTGTATGGACAGCTTAGTGCACTTGGGTGTATGGACACCCCAGGCCTTTCGGGTGTACAGACACCCCGGGCGTTTCGGGTGTATGGACAGCTTAGTGCACTCGGGTGTATGGACAGCGTAGTGCTTTCGGGTGTACAGACACCCCAGGCCTTTCGGTGTACAGACACCTGAATGGATTCGGCGGTGCAGACACCCGAACCCGTTCGGGTGTACAGACACCCGAATGGGTTCGGATGTCTGTACACCCGAATGAACTCGGGCGTCTGTACAGCCGAAAGCACTCAGGTGTCTGTACACCCCAAGCCATTCAGGGGTATAGACACATCAGTGGATTGGGGTGTATAGACACCTGAGTGCATTCGGGTGTATAGACACCTCGGTGGATTGGGGTGTATAGACACCTGAGTGCATTCGGGTGTATAGACACCTGAGTGCATTCGGATGTATAGGCAGCTCAGGAGGTGCATAGACAGCTCAGGGAGTGTATGGACAGCTCACGGGGTGTACAGACAGCTCCGGAGTGTCTAGGCAGCTGCTGAGGTGTCTGTACACCGCAGCAGCTGCCTAGACACCTCCTGAGGTGTCTGCACACCTGCGAAGCTGTCTATACACCCCGTGAGGTGTCTGTACACCTCAAGAGCTGTCTATACACCCCGTGAGGTGTCTGTACACCTCAAGAGCTGCCGAGACACCTCGTGAGGTGTCTGTACACCTCAAGAGCTGCCGAGACACCTCATAACGCGGCGTGTTGGGGTGTCTGGACAGCTGGGGCTTGGGTTGTGGGGTTTGCTGCTGCAGGACATCGAAGCTGCTGCAGCAGCAAAGGGGGTCTCGCTGCTGCTGCCTGAAGACTTCGTGCTGGGCCCTGCTGCTGCTGCTGCTGCTGCTGCTGCTGGCACTGCTACTGCTGCTGCTGGAGTTCCTCCCCACCTCATGGCCCTGGACCACGGGCCCCTGACTAACCAGCGGTTTGCTGCAGCAATTCGCGAGAGCAAAACCATCGTCTGGTCAGCAAACCCTAAACCCTAAACCCTAAACCCTAAACCCTGCACAAACCCTCAGGAAACAGGCCTAGTCAGGCCCTCAGGAAACCCTCAAGTCCAAGCTGCTCGCCGCAGAACCCTAAACCCTAAACCCTAAACCCTAATCGACGCTGCTGCGATTATCTCGCTAGAGTGGTTCTTTAGCTGCATTGCGCGCTGCGGGCTGCCCGGACTTTGCTGCTGCTGCTGCTAATTGCTGCTGTTGCTGCTGCTACTTGCTGCTGCTGCTACTTGCTGCTGCTGCTACTTGCTGCTGCTGCTACTTGCTGCTGCTGCTACTTGCTGCTGCTGCTGCCACCTTCTATTTCTGCTAATTGCTGCTTCCGCTGTTGCCTGCTGCCTCATGCTGCTGCTGCTGATTGCTGATGCTGCCTCATGCTGCTGCTACTGATTGCTGCTGCTGCCTCATGCTGCTGCTGCCTCATGCTGCTGCTGCTGCTGCTGCTGCTGCTCAGGAACGGCCCCATGGGCTACGCAGAAAACCCGGCCTTCCGCGCAGGCACAACAGCAGTGGCGGAAGCAGCAGCAGCAGCAACAGCAGCAGGAGCAGTGAGCATTGTGGGGGGCGGAGACTCTCTTGCTGCAGTTAAGCTGCTGCAGCAGCAAAACCCTAATCTGCAGCTAACCCACTTATCCACAGGGGGTGGGGCCACACTCAAACTCCTCGAGGGGGCCCCCATGCCTGCCTTGGAGGCCCTTACTTCTCGCCAGCAGCTGGAGCAGCTAATTCATTAAAGCTAGCTAGCTAGCTGGCTAGCTAGCTGGCTAGCTAGCTGGCTAGCTAACTGGCTAGCTAGCTGGCAAGCTAGCGAAGCCCCCATGCCCGCTTTGGAGGTCCTTAATTTGCTCTTGCAGCTGGAGCAGCCAATTCATTAAAGCTGGCTAGCTAGCTGGCTAGCTGGCTAGCTAGCTGGCTAGCTAGCTGGCTAGCTAGCTGGGTGTTTGGGAAGCACCCATGCCTGCCTTGGAGGCCCTTACTTCGCGGCAGCAGCCGGCGCAGCTATTCACTTGAAGCTAGCTAGCCAGCTAGCCAACTATCTGGCTAGCTAGCTAACTGGCTAGCTAGCTAGCCTAGCTAGCTAGCCAGCTGGCTGCTTTGGGGGCCCTGGGTACCCGCCCTGGAGGCCCTCGCCACGCGGCAGCTGCTCCCGCAGCTACTTGACTAGACAGCTAGCTAGCTAGCTAGCTGAGCAGCTAACTAGCTAGCTAGCTAGCTGAGCAGCTAACTAGCTAGCTAGCTGGGCAGCTAGCTAGCTAGCTAGCTGAGCAGCTAACTAGCTAGCTAGTTAGCTGCCCGGGGAGGTCCCCATGGCCGCCGTGGAAGCCCTCACCATGTGACAGGAGCTCGCGGAGCCAGCCAACTAGAGCTAGCTAGCTAGCTAGCCAGCTAGCTAGCTAGCTAGCCAGCAAGCAAGCAAGCTAGCTAGCTGGCTGGACAGGGGGCTAGCTGGCTAGCTAGCTAGTTACCCGACCAGCCAGTCCGCTAGCTAGCTAGCTAGCTGCTCAGCTATCGGAGTGGCCGGCTGGCTAGCCGCATCGAACCGACCAGATACGTGGCTAGCTGGCTAGTTAGGTGGCTAGCTGGCTAGCTATGTGGCTAGCTAGCTAGCTATGTGGCTAGCTAGCTAGCTATATGGCCAGCTAGCTAGCTGTATGTGGCTAGCAAGGCAGCTGGCCATGTCGGCTCAACCAAATGCGCAGCTAGCTAGCTAGCTAGCTAGCTAGCCACTCATCCAGCCAGCTTTGGCTAGCTGGCTAGCAATATGGACCCCCTGTGCAGTCTGCAGAGGGGCCGAACAATGTTTGTTCCGCGCCGCTGCACGACGTCGACGACGACGACGACGTCGACGAC